AGGCCTTGAGCTTGGGCGCGGCTCCTCCCTGCAGCCAAGCGCGCGCCTCCGCGAGGACCGCCTCCCCTTCGCCATGGTGGCGCAAGAGGGCCCCCGCCGCATCGAGCGCACGGCAGCCGCGCTCGATGTCGGAAGGAAGCCGCCTCCCCTGCCGCCGAAGGCGGGACAGGCCCGCCGCCAAGGTGGCGCCCCCGAAGATGGCCACGACCTCCGCCGCCGCTCCCAACAGCTGCTGCGCGTTGCCGCCCAAGTCGGGCCGGGCCGCAGCCTGCGCCACAGCCGCAGCCTCCGCCACGCCGGCTGCTGCCGCCCCCGCGCAGGCTCCGGGCGCCGCACGGGCGCGGGCGCCGAGCGCCGAGCGGCAAGGAGCAGCCGCCGTCGCCGCCCCTGCCACGCCGTCCGCTGGCGCCGCCGCCGTCTCTGAGCACCCCGCCTGCACGAGCAGCAGGAGCTCGGCGGCCTCGCCGACCCATGCGCCCGTGACGAGCGCGGCGCCATGGCGGACCGAGAGGCCGCCGCGCCCGCCGCGCCCCATCGCACCGTCGGGTGATGACCGCGCGCGCCCGCGGGGCACGGCGCAGCCGCAGCGCTCCCAGGAGCGCCTCCGCTTGAGCCCAAATGGCTACGGAGGAGAAGGGGCGAGGAAGGAGAGAGGAGGAGTGAGGAGGAGAGAGGAGGACATTGCGTGCTCTTGCGAACTCTTCCCCTGTGAGACTTTCTAAGGAATCTTTTGTCGGAGCCAAGTGCTGACATTAATAACAATATGTTAGCCAGCGCAGACCCCAAGCCGTGTCTTCTTGCACCTGCAGTCTGTGCGGTTCAGCTTAGGTGGTGAAAGCAGTGTGGTGCAATCTAGGTGATGCAATCCATGTTTTGTAACCATGTGGCGCAAAGCAATGCACAGCCATGTGACGCAGTGCAACGCAGTGCAAAGCAATGCAATGCAAAGCAATGCAAAGCAATGCCATGCAATGCAAGGCAATGCAGAGCAACAGTTGCATCCGATGCAAAACAATGCAAATCTATGCAGCTCGCTGACCATCACTGTACATCATTGCAACTCATTGCAGCGCAATGCAACGCACTACTGCAACGCAATGCAAGCGATCGATTGCACTGCAAGGCAAAGCAACGCAATGCAGTTCACATCAATGCGACGCAATGCAAATCCATGCAAAGCAATGCAATGCAAAACGACGTGTAAAGCACTGTAACGACATGCACCGCGATGTTTGCAAAGCAATTCAGCCCAATGCTAAGCATTGCAAATCCTGCCGAAACAATGCAATGTAATTCCAAGCAGTTGAATGCGATGCAAAGCAATGCATAACATAGCAACGCAATGTAATGTACTGCGCAACAATGCACGACGATGCAACACACTGCAACGACATGCGACGCAACGCAAAGCAGTGCAATGCTATGCGCAGCAATTGGAAGCAATACCAATCAACACCAAGCACTTCGAAGCAATGCAAAGCAATTCATATCAAGTCAACGCAACGCACCGTGATGCCAACCAATCGAACGCGATGCAACGCAATGCGCACCGATCAGTGCAACGCGATGCAATGTAATGCTCTGCAGAGGAAGGCACAGCAATGCAAAGCAGTGCAACACAATGCAGAGCTATGCAACGCAATGCAAAGCAACGCAACACAACGCACATCAACGCACCGCAATGCAATACAATGCAAAGCCATGCAAATCGATGCAAACCAATGCAAAGAGCAAAGCAAACCAGTGTAATGCAAGGCAACACTCAGCAACGCAGAGCAATGCAAAACAACAAGTGAACCCGATGCAAAGCAGTGCAAAGCAGTTCAAAGCAATGCAAAACAGTGCACAGCACTGCAACACAATGCAAATCAATGCAAAGCAATACCAAGCAATGCGCAGCAATGCACAGCAACGCACAGCGATGCAACGCAACAGTTGAATCCGATGCAAAGGATTGCAAAAAACGATTAAACGTAATGCAGAGAAGTGCAAAACAATGCAAACACATGCGAGCCAGTACAAAACAATGCGACACATTGCGAAGCACTTTGACGCGATGAGAAGCAACTCTCTGCAATACAATGACGCAAGAGCTAACAGACGCAATCGGCACGCTCCGCCTACGCTGGAAACAATCCTCCCTGCAGTGCATGTCGGCTGGAGCCCAGCCCTATGACCCACCCCGCACTGTTCACCAACATGGAGGTTAGCTTGTCTATGATAACGTCGGGAGCATGCCGGTGCTCGGCACTTGTGCCGACAGCGTCGGCGCGACCACCCCGAGCATGGAGTACGGACTATCGGTCGCAAACGTTGTCATCATTTTTTATCAAAGGCCACCATGAAGGAGCAATTTCACGCATGGCGTCAAGCACCATGGTCGACATCTGCAGCTCCCTGCGTCTTCGACATGCATAACTCATACTGTATTGCGTCGCGTCCGGTCTTGGGCATTGCATCACGTACGTCGCATGGTGAAGTTGAGACGGAGGCCAGGGGAAGGGCAAGTGGGGTACACGCAAAGATCCACAGCCCAAATCCATCGATGATTCGACTCATGTTCCGTTGAAGCGCTGCGTTTGCGTGTAATGCAAGCCGTGATCAAGTCCGTATGTTTGGACCATTCTCGACGGGGTCGTCAATTTGCCATGGCGCGGCGATTCTGTGACACGCCCGAGTGGCAGACCCTCCCTACCGCGTGTTCTGCAAGCCAGCCACAACGAGAAGGATTGGTGCACGAACCCCGAGGCGCAGTGCGATCCCATTAGGACGCCCCCTTTTGTATCGGTTTCGTGTTGCATTGGCGGGAGTTGTTGCGCACGTGCGATACGCTCAAGGATTGGATGGAGAACTGCAATCAGTTCGCAGAGAATCTGTGCGCAGCCTGACACCTCCCCAAACCATCCTTCCCGAGTGGTTCAGGCACGAAACGGCGAGGGGAAGAACGCACCGCCCACACAGAGGACAACGCCCCCGCGTTGTGCCAGCACCCTGCGGACGAACAGCGGGGACCTTGGTGGACGGCGAATCATGGTCGCGTCGACACAACCAGACCGTGCCCGACTTGGTCAATGGTCACGCAGTGCTGGCAGCTGGCTCATACCGTCCGGTTTTTGTGCGGATTTTCCGCAACTTCGTTTTTTCATCAGCGGGAGGCTGGAAACGTCAAGCCCCCACAGCCCTCACAATGCAGCGGCAGCCACGCCAGCACAACAACGTTGCCGACCACATTGCCAACCACGTTCCCGAGAGCGAGGTGCCGTGGTCCAGGCAGGAACTCTCGTCCGTCCAAAGCGACCCATCATGTTCGACGTCTTGCTGCGACGGTGGGCTCGTGGCTGGCATCCGAACCTGTGCGTACGCTCTCGTGGACATGAATGACGGCGGGGGCGCCCTCATGGCTACTGGGGGAGTATACATCCAGCAACAGCGCCTTCGAGGCTGAGGTCGTCGCGTCGAACACGGGTTTCAAAACCCTTCTGAACGCGTTTTCTTCCCCTCTCTCCTTTGCTGGTCCTCGCCCGCCGCTCCCTCTTCGGCCCCCCATGTGTCCCAGCTTCAGAATACATGGCGTTGCCGATCCGTCTCCGCAGAAGTATCGCACAGGCAGTTCTGTGCCCGGAATGCTAAGCGACGCGCAGCCATGCGAAGCAATGTCATGCAACGACTGGCAACGCACAGCGATGCAAAGCAGCGGGCGGCGACGGGCGGCGACGGGCGGCACTCGGGCCCAGCGGCGACGGCGGCGACGGGCGGCGACGGGCGGCGACAGGCGGCCCTGGGGCCCAGCGGCGGCTGCCGCGACGGGCTGCGACGAGCGGCGACGGTCGGCGACGGGCGGCCCTGGGGCCTAGCGGTGACGACGGCGATGGGCGGCGTGGCCGGCTCAGTTACCTTGAAGAACAAGTGAGAGACCATGAGTGCAAACATTGTTGGAGGAAAAAGTGATATTGTTGCTACAACTTATACTCTTACCATTGCCCTTCGTACTGTTACTGCGACTTCTACGTGTGCTTCCAGTACTATTTGTCGTTGCCCCCGGTCGTCGTCGTCGTCGTCGTCGTCGTCGTCGTCGCCAAGTGTTATTGTTTCCGCTGGTCGTCGTCGTCGTCGTCGTCGTCGTCGTCGTCGTCTCCGTGTCAGCCGGTCGTCGTCGTCGTCGTCGTCGTTGTCATTGTCGTTGTTTTTGTCGTCGCCGTTGGCTGTTGTCGTCGTCGTCCTCGCCGTCGTGGCCTTTACTGGTGTTCCTGCCACTGCTAGACGTTCTACTACCATCACTACTGCTACCACCCCCGGGTTCAAAGCTGGCGATCGGCACCGAGGTCGGGGAACCGACTGGAAATGTTGAATCTTGACGGAGGAAGTCCAACGTGGAATCGGCGCCAAGAACAGCAACCATATTTTGTTGGCGAAGAAGTCCCGAGCGAAATCTTCATTCTCTGATGGCCTAGCAAACATTCTGATCGCCCAGCAGGACGACCACAAACATTATTTAAGGACGTCTTGGGCGGAATGCCACTTTCTGATGCGAGCCCCATGTGGGCTCCCTGGTATCAGTACGGATGAGAGATGCATCAGCGATTCTGAAACTTACCTTACATCCAACATTATCCTGGGGCCCCGCTGCCGAACGAGAGGCCGACCACTTCTTCCTCGATCCCAGGAAATCGTAGTACATCCGCCACAACAAATACGCAGACACCCTCCACTGGATTGTTCCTCGGCCTCAGAGGAAGGCGGCGGTGTATGTAAATCACACCTTGGAACCAACGACTTTTTATACTGTCCCTTCCCCGAAGGTGCATGTCCAGTTTGTCGGAGGGCGCCTGCGTATATATATATATATATATATATATATATATATATATATATATATATATATATATATATATATATATATATATATATATAATCGTGGCGCAGAGTACACCACCGCGACGTTGCCATCACCCTGCCATGGAGGCCAGCCCCCCGCCCTGACACGGACGTCGCGGGGGCAGATGCAGGACACTCCCGTGGGGCAGGTCGACGCCCCGCCCCCGGCGCGAGGCCAGCTACAAGGCCTGGCACTGGAACCGGCGCTGCGGCCAGTTCCTGCGGGCCGTGCTCAGGGCGCCCCCCCCCGCCGCCACACGAGGAGCAGGAAGAGGAAGAAGAGCAACGTGAAGAGGAGGATGAGAAGGAACAGGAGGAGGAGGAGGAGGAGGAGGAGGAGGAGGAGGAGGAGGAGGAGGAGGAGGAGGAGGAGGAGGAGGATGCATGAGAAGAGGAGGAGGAGGGGGAGGAGGAGGAGGAGGAGGAGGAGGAGGAGGAAGAGGAGGAGGAGGTGCTGCGCCGCATCGAGCAGGGCCGTCTCCAATGCCAGGTCGAAGGCCAGGAACGGCAGAGGTCGGGCCATCCTCCTTCACCTCCGCCTCCTCTTGTCGCCCCGCCAGGGGCCTCCAGCGAGCAGCCAAGAACCTCCGATGGCCTTCCTTCGGGTCTCCCAGGGAGGGGTGGCGCAGAGCCATTGGGCCTCCTCGAGGGATCAGACCACGAGTGCGGGGATCCTCCACGCAGGTGGATCCAGCAGCCTCGGGTGTCTCAGACTCACGGGGCTTCGGGGAGCCTCGAGATGCTTCTTGGGACACCAGGGGAGCGCAACGAGGTCTGCGCGGGTCTTCCCAAAGACGGTGCCACATGCCTCCATGCTTTCTGAGCTGGGCCCGCTGTCCATTCCAGTATGCTTGTTGTTGTAGTTCTCTGGGAGCTTTTTTCCCAGCCATCCTGTATTGTTGGGTCCTCGGTTTGAATTAGCAGCGCCGCGTCTTCCCTTCCTCCTTTCTCCTCCCCCTTCTTCCTCCTTCCCTCCCTGCCTCTGCCCTCCGCATGCACATGTCGGCATGCCCCTCACACGGTTCGTGGCCCAAGAGGGAGCTCCACCGAAGGCCACGGTGGCCAAGTCCGCAAGCGGTTCCACCCCTTATTTCGGCGCACCCTTCACACGTGTCGTGGCCTCACATGTAACCTTACCGAAGGTCCCAGTGGCGCAGTTCGCATGTGGCTCCACACCCTATTCCGGCGCACCCCTTGTACCTCCCGTAGCCCCATAGGGAGATACACATGGCACAGCCCGCACCCGGTTACACCCCCCATTTTGGCGCACCCTATTCCCCAGTCTGCCTTCCATTCCAGCTGAGTCGGTGCCCTGGGTGGCATCCCTCACTCGTCCCCGCGGATGGCCCCATCTCGCAGTTTATTGCTCCCCTCTCTCTCTCTCTCCCCCTTTTTCGGGCTCACGCCAGACGGTGGCTCGAGGAGAACTCAAAATCCTTAGCCATTTTGGCTCAAGCCATTTTGGCTCAATCCTTCTGCCACGAAGCGTTTGTGGCCTCGCCCGGGCGCGCCCCCTCCTCGGCGAGGCGCGGCTGCGGAATGTCGGGTTCCCTCGGCCCAGCTCGGCGCCTTCCTGGTCGAGGCCGCCGTCCGGGCCGCGGTCGCCGCCGGGGCGCCGCGGCGCACTGTCGCCACCGTCGCGCGGCCGGCTATCTCCGCCACGCTTTTTGCGTGCGGGGACGCGCCGACGGCGGCGGCCGCGCGTGACGCTGCTTCTGCCCCTGATGCTCGCGCGCCTCCTGCTGCACCGCCTGCCGCCTCCGCGGCCACGGCGGAACGGCGGAGGCGCAGACGCCGCCGCCTCGCGGAGCGGCGTGCCGCGGAGGCGCTCCCTGCTGCTGGCGCGGCGTTCGAGGGCGCCGCAGTCGTGACGGGTCCTGCTGCTGCTGCTGCTGCTGCTGCTGCTGCTGCTGCTGGTGCGTGCCCTCGGCCTGTTCGAGCCGCCGTGGAGGCCGCTGACGACAACGCGATGTTCGAAGACGCCTGGGCCGACGGCCTGGTGCGGCCTTCGCCACCCGCTGCGGCGGAGCAGTCTGCTGCTGCTGCCGCCGCTTCGGGCGTGCCGCCGCCCTCGCCTGCTGTTGCCGCGGGCTCGCAGGTCGAGGGCGTCGTGGCCCCGACCTCGCCCCTACAGGACGGCAGCTGGGCCGACCAGCTCCCCGCGCGCCGCGCGGCGCCCGCCGTGGAGGCGGTGCGCCTTGCCGCGGCGGTTCCTGGTGGAGCTGCTTGTGCTGGGGCTGCTGCTGCTGCTGCTGCCCCCCTCCCCGGCGGCCGTCTCTCGGACGAAGTGGAGGAAGAGTGGTGGCGGCGGGCGCTGCGCGCGCGGGCGGCGGCGATCATCCCAGGCGCAGGGTGATCGTCGTCCTTTTCACTGCCCAGTGGTGTCCTCGCCCCCTGTCGCACGGCTGTGGGGTGATGTCCCCCCTGCGATGACAGCTGCTCAGGGGGCCGCCAACCTTACTGTACAGGTTGCGCGGCAGGCACGGGGAAGGAATTGCTCTCCCCGTCCGTATGCCCTGCTGAGGCGCTGGGCTGTTTTTCTCTTGCTCTGGCCACGGGGCGGTCGTCCGTCGTGTGGCCAGTGCCTCCTAGTCCATGGGGCTGCTGGAGGTACTCTTTCGGTCAGTGAGGTCTCCCTCACTGCCAGCAGTGGTTTCCCAGCCGCCGCTGCTGTGCCTTTTTCTCCTAGGCTGTGCGGGCGTTGAGCTCAAAACGAGGAGAGCTCAAAGCGCTGGCCGTGGGTGCGTGGGCCTCGCGAGGCGACGTCGTATTCGTGTCCGACTGCGACAACGCGGTGAGGGCTTGGTACGCAGGCACCCATCGTGAGCCACGCGGCGACATCGTCGACTTGGGGCGTTACGAGGAATGTTGCCGAGGGTCGTGTCGTCACGGACCCACTCCCACCTATCGGCCCTGGACGTTGTCGAGGGGCGGGGCACCTCGCTCTTGGTCCGCGGCAGGGCCGTAGCGGGCGAGCTCGCCTGCGCGGCCGCCGACGACGCGGGGCGGCCGCGGGAGGTGCGCGCGAGGGTCCTGGTGCACGAGTGACCGGCACAGCAGGTACGATTGTTACTATTACGTGCTGCGCTGGACAGCGTGGCAGCCGCTCGCGAGCAGGAGGCGGGAGTCAGAACACGGAAAGGCCACGCGGCCAGTGATGCCCCTCCTCCCGCTCCCCCTACTGCTGCCGCTGCCATCTCCTCGCTTCTCTCGAAGCAGGCCTCGCCCGAGTGCAAGCAAAAGTGTCTTCGGTGCTACCCTACTGCCACGAAAGCTTACATGGAATATTGGCGGGCCACACCCTGCTTTTAGATATTTAATCGCTTCGCTTATTCCGCCGGCCCTCGAGCGCTCTATGGGGCCTTTTTGAAACCTCTTGCGGGCCTCTTTGGGGCCTCCGAAGCGCTTCTTGGGGGCCTCTTGAGGGCCTCTTGGGGGTCTCTTGGGGCTTCTCGGCGGCGTCTTGGGCTCCCCTGAGGCCTCTTGGGGGGCTCTTGGGGGCCCTTGGGGCAGGAGGGGGGGTAGTCGATTGCAGCCACCCCCTCGGAGGCCATGGTCCTCGTGAGGGGTGGAGAAAAAATAGCCTCTCCCCGGGGGATCGCCCGGGGGTCAGCCGGGGATCGGCCGGGGTACTTTTCGTCCGGGGGCCCCCAGGGGCCGCCCCCCGCGCGCGCGAACTATAAATATTGTTAGTGGTTACCAGAGATCTTAGCACGCCTCTGGCCCGTTGGGCCGGCGAATATATAATATAGACGGACGGATGGTGTCACACTTAAGAGGTGGACGTCTGCATGTTATGGGGGACTGGGCACATCAGACCCACCAGCTGTGCTTCACACCTCCTTCGGGGTTTGGCTTTGTAGCCTCTGCGGGGCGATCGTCGACAAGCAGTTGTGTTCCCTCGGTCATCCCTGCAAGAACAAGTCGGCTTTAACGAAGGCCCATAACATAATACCTCGATCGGATCTCAGCTGGGAAGCAGCCCGATGTCCTGAGCCAGATCGAGTTGAAGGCTGGGCGTTCGAGGCGACGATCTATGGTGCAGTGGTGTTCAAGGCACGTTGCTTGCGCTTCTTTTACCCGGAGATTGTCACGGGAGGGTGTCTTGCAGCATCGTCGGAGCATCCTGGTTTTGCTCCAGTCTCCTCCTCCTCTTTCGCCCTCCCCCCCTCTCTCCTCATCTGTCGTCCCATCTGCGCCCCACCCCGCAGACACAGCGCGTGTGGCACGGGGCCGTGCAGCGGAAGTGGATGCGGAGCTGCCACGGCGCCGCCGTGGTGCTGCAGAGGCACACCAGGGGTCTGCTCGTGCGCGTGGCCCTCGACAAGGCGTGAGCGGGGGGGGGGGTCCCGCAGAAGGCGCGAGGCGCAGGATGATGATGATGATGATGATGATGATGATGATGATGATGATGATGATGATGATGATGATGATGATGATGATGATGATGATGATGATGATGATGATGATGATGATAATGATGATGAAGATGATGATGATGCTGCTGCTGATGATGATGGCGATGACGGTGACGATGGCGAAGGCGACGATGATGATGCTGATGATGATGACGACGATATTGATGATGATGATGGTGGTGGTGGTGATGATAATGCTGATGACGATTATGATGCTGATGGTGATGGTGGAGGTGGTGGTGGTGGTCATGGTGGTGATGGTGCTGGTGATGCTGATGATGGAGGTGATGCGGCTGCTGATGATGAAGCTCATGATGTTGGTGATGATGATGCTGATGCTGATGCTGATGACGATGACGATGACGACGGCGATGATGATGATGCTGATGCTGATTCTGATGATGATGCTGGTGATGACGATGACGATGCTGATAAATGATGATGCTGATGCTGATGCTGATGATGGTGATGATGGTTACGAAGAGGATGATAGCGGCGACGACGATGATGATGGTGGTGGTGATGATGGTGATGATGATGGTGGTGGTGATAATGGTGATGATGCTGATGATGCTGATGATGACGCTGATGACGACGATGATGACGGCGACGATGGTGATGATGATTACGATGCTGCTGATGATGCTGCTGATCATGATGACGATGCTGATACCGATGATGCTGATGATTATTATGACGATGCTGATGATGACGACGCTGACGGTGCTGCTGATGATGCTTACGATGATGATGCTGATGCTCATGATGATGCTGATGATGATGCTGATGATGAGGATGACGATGCTCATGATGATGCTGATGATGCTGATGATGATGACGATGATGAGCATGCTGATGATGATGATGATGATGATGATGATGATGATGATGCTGATGCTGATGATGATGGTGGTGGTGATGATGACGCTGATGACGATGCAGCTGGTGACGATGATAATGTTGATGCTGATGATGGTGATGATGATGATGCTGATGATGATGATGCTGATGATGATGATGATGATGATGCTGATGCTGATGATGATGGTGGTGGTGATGATGACGCTGATGACGATGCAGCTGGTGACGATGATAATGTTGATGCTGATGATGATGATGATGATGATGATGATGATGATGATGATTGTGATGATGATGATGCTGATGGATGGTGATGATGATTATGATGATAATGCTGATGATGATGATGATGATGATGATGCTGCTGATGATGCTGATGATGCTGATGATGGTGATGATGATGATGATGATGCTGATGATGATGATGTTGATGATGATGATGCTGATGATGATGATGATGATGATGATGATGATGATGGTTGTGGTGGTGGTGGTGGTGGTGGTGATGGTAGTGGTGGTGGTGATGATGATGGTGGTAATGCTGATGTGGGTGATGCTGATGAGATGCTGATGATGGTGGGGGGGATGATGGTCTTGCGGGAGCGTGAGGATGGAGGAGGACGTCGACGAGGAAGAGAAGAAGACGAGGAAGGGAGAGGTGGCGTGCGAAATATTCAGTCACGTTGCCACTTGTTGCAGTTGAGGCATGCAGTTTGTCCCCCTCATCCTCGCTAACTCGTCTCACCCTTCCTTCTTATTCGTTTTCCTCGTGGGGAACCTCCCAACTTCATTCCGGCTGAGGTCGCCATCAGCCATCATCGTATGTCTGCTGTCCCACTCGTCCGGCAGAGCTGTCGCTGCCCCACAGGCTTCTCCGTGCTGCTGCCATCGAAGCCAAACTTTCCCCCCCCGCTGGAGCGATTATGGCGAGCCCCAGGTGGAGCGCCTGGCGGACGGGAGGAGGCCCACATCTGAGCGGATACGTCTCCTGGCTTGACCATCGGGGCCGACGTCCTCCAAGATTTGGACCCGAAATGGGCTCTCGAGGGCTGGGTGGCGGCAGATATGTGTCCTCTCCGCATGATCGTAGGTTCGAAGGAATCGGCCTGCCACCTTTTGAACATCGACTTGAGATTTCCAGCCGTGCGTCGGGGGCGGGAAGCATAACCGCATCCACGGCCCTGCAGTCTGGATCCCCTGGATACAGGGCGGCCTTGCGCGGATGGCCCGCGCGGAATCGACCCGTGGGATGGGATCGCGCCTTGGTGCCCAGACCGCGAGACAATGGATCTGGGCATGTTCGTCACTCGTGACTGCGGGGCACCGACACTTTTTCTGGTGGGGGGGGTGGCGCCGGCGGCTCGCAGCGGACCCCCGCCCCGCCAGGGTGGCCGCGAGCTGGCGCGGAAGCACCAGGCGGAGCTCACCGAGCTGCTGCGGCAGAAGGGCCAAATGCAGGAGCCTCCTCCTTGCCTCGGGGCGGGGCGGGGGAGGGAGGAGGGGCGAGGCTCCTGGTGGTCCTGGATGAGGTGATGATCAGAGGCCTTCCTCTCCCCTCGTCGTCCTCCTCCGCCTCCGCCGCCGAGTCGCGATCCGACATGAGGCCGAGGTTACCAGCCTGGAACATAACCCCATGCCCAGGATAATAATGTCCCCCCCCCTTAAGTAGTTTTTTTCTTTTCTAATATATATATATATATATATATTATTATCGTCGACCAATCAGAGTTTGGTCGGGGGCGCGGGGGCGCGGAGGCCGAACCTCATTATCACGGGAAAAGTTCGCCATCGAGGTTACTTCCTTCTCATGTTGAGATAACAACATCAAGCGAAGCGAACACGTTGTTTCAGGATGTCTCAAGCGAAACCAATGTCCTTCTGTCTCTTTGTAGTTATTTCTGTCTCTCTTTCTTTCTTTCTCTGTCTCTCTCTCTCTGTCTCTCTATCTCTTTCTCCTCCTCCTCCCTCTGGCGCCCTGAACTTGTTTATCGCTGGGGTTGATCATCCGGTGAAAATGAGGCACGTGAGCTACTCTACACAAGCAGATGAAAATTTTGATTTTCATCATGCGTTTACACTATACACATTAAATCTAATACGTTTTAAACTTTTGATTTTTGCTATCTCCTTCTCCTCTCCTCCTCTTGCTCTTTCTCCTCCTCCTCCTCCCTCAAGGATGTCTCAAGCGAAACCGATGTCCTTCTGTCTCTTTGTAGCTCTTTCTGTCTCTCTTTCTTTCTTTCTCTGTCTCTCTGTCTCTCTGTCTCTCTACCTCTTTCTCCTCCTCCTCCCCCTGGCGCCCTGAACTTGTTTATCGCTGGGGTTGATTATCCTGGGAAAACGAGGCACGTGAGCTACCCTACACAAGCAGATGAAAATTTTAATTTTCATAAAGCGTTTACACATTAAATCTAATAAGTTTTAAACTTTGGATTTTTGCTATCTCCTTCTCCACTCCTCCTCTTGCTCTTTCTCCTCTTCCTCCCTCAAGGATGTCTCAAGCGAAATCAGCAATCATTTGAAGATGTCTCAAGCAAAACAGACAAATATTTCGAGGATGTCTCAAGCGAAACAAGCAATTCGTTGAGGATGTCTCAACCGAGACAATCCTGAAGATATCTTTGGCTTTTTCCTCTTGATATCTTTTTATGCTGGCTCTGGCGGGCAACTTTTATTACCCCCCCGAAAACCCCGAACTTTATTATCCCTTAGGGTTTATTATCCGCAGTTAGGGGTTATCCCTAACCCTATGCTGGGCACCTCCTTATCACGATGCCAGTCTTAGGGATCCCCTTATTTTTGGAGGGCGAAGCCCTAAGACTGTCATCGCCTTTTGGCGTGTCAATCTCAGGGATAGGGATACTTTCGAGGCTGCTAACGAGGTCCTCTCTCTCCCTCCGCCTCCTCCTTTTCTCCGCGCCGCGCTCCGAGCGGAGGCACGAGCCAGACGGCACTGGCACCACCCGCGGAGCATGCCCCCCCCGCGAGGGAGGGCCACGATGAGGGCGAGGGTCAAAGTCGGGCCCGTCCCTCTGCAGGGGGGATCTTCGAACATAGTAGCACAACATACCGTCGGGGCTCCAAAGAAAGAACCCTTTTCGTTGGAGAGGGGCTATGTATTCGAAAATAGTAGCACAACATAGTTTGGGGGCTATGTTTTGACCATGTTTGAGCGTTTTTTTGGGGGGTATTTTTTGGGGGGTCTTTTTGCTGCTTCCTCCAAGATCC